GGGGACACCTGGCAGTCTCCTCCGCAGTGCGCTGTTCATCCTGCCTCTTGCCTTCGGTTCTGCAGAACCACCCCCTTCCCAAGTCCTATCTTGTTATTCCTGCCCGAGGAACTTTCTTTTTCCTATTGCTTCACATCTTCCACCTCTCTTACCCTTCCCCCAGCCCCAGCCCTCCACCTTCAGTTTTAGAGCTTCATACTGGTTCCTCACCCAGCATCTTCCCTGTCTCCGTGCCACGCATCTGCTGTTTCACCTGCTCAGACTGCCCCTTCACCGCCTCCATCATGGAGGGAGGGGTCATTTTACCGGGTGGGATGGGGACAATGGAATCAAGCAAACGTTTAAGGCAGAGGAAATCTTGGAGCTGAGATGTGCTGTTTTGAGGTGATGAGGTAAGGGTGCTTTTGGCAGAGGGAGACAGGTAAGCAAATGAGCAGAGGTGGGACCGAGGCCTTAGGGGACACTAGCTGCTGATGTGTATGGCTAAGGCCTGGGAAGTGAGGGGCTTGGCTGGGAGAGAAGGGCAAAGTTTGCCTGCCGCTCTGTGTATCTTGCAGGGGAAGGGGAGGGAGGAGAGGAGAGAGGGAGGGAGGGCTCACCCCTCTCTTGCTCATTCCAAGTCCTTCGCGTCTGTTTGTCCTTCCTGCAGAGCAGAGGACATTGCAGCCACTGCAAGAATCACCATGGCCCCCACCATCCAGTCCATGGCCCCCCAAAGAGGTGGCCAGTGACAGAAAGGGGCCCTGCTCCCAGCCTTGAGGCAGGAGATACCCCAGCCCCCAACACACATACATAAACTGTGAGATGGGTGCGGGACCATGCTGGGAAATTTCCCTCAGATTGCCCTGCCAGAAGGATTCTTGCCTGAGTGAGATGCTTCCAGGGGGTCAGAGCATGAGGGTAATAGTCTGGTGTGGTGGCTTAGGTCCTAGGAAGGGGATGCCAAGACTCAACCTCTGGAGACCCTGGTGTGGCTGTATTTAGACGTGGCCTGTAACACGTCTGCACAGAGCTCACACTCTGCCCAACCAACTCCTTGTGTGTGACTCTGTTGTTCCAGGTGCACTCTATCCCCATCTCTGACCTGTGGCTCAGGATAGAGTCCTGTGGCCTGCCATGAGGGACTTCTCTGGAATCCACATCCTGGCAGCCAGGCCTAAAAGAACCCTCCAGTGCCAGAGCCCTTTCTGGGATCCCTCTTTCCCTGGCTGGTAGAGGGTGGAGGAACCAAGAGGAAGCCATAGTCCAGAAGGGACAGCACTGGTTAGACCGCCAGAAGGGAGCACTAGAAGGGAATGGAGGGGGAAAGACACTGGTGGTAGGGGACAGGAGGAGGGGCAGGGGGTTAGGAAGGAGGGAGAAGCAGCAATCTACAGGCCCGAGGTCTCCAAGGGAGACGGAGGAGGAGAAAGGAAGAAAGCTTAGTGTGCCAGAGAGAGAATGAGGAGTGCTCAATGTCCTCAAGGCCATTTCTGATAAGTCTCCATTAGCCAGGTCCCCAGAAGCCTTGTTTCCCGCGTCAGGGGGACCCCATGAGAGTAGGTGGAGCCCCGCAGAGCTCTCTTTGGATGGGTGTAGCCGTTCTGGGGGAGGGATGGTGCGTGAGGAGGATGGGCCTCAGCCTCTGGGGGAGCCTCGGTGTGCCCCAAACATCCCTGACGTGTTGCAGGACTCCCCAGAGCCCACGGCCGCCCATCCCCGCGACGGAAGGCCGGTCAGTGCCAATCGTTCACGCCTTTGGGCCACACTCTGTCCCCCTCGAGTTTTGAGCGTCCTGCATCTTCGGAGGGCTGAGCAGGGGGTGAAAGGTACTTGTGGAGCCCACCAAGAACTGCAGCCTGCCCGTCCCTTCACCAGGGTCGCCGAGCTTAGCCTCACAGAACCGATGCGTGGATGCGGCCGAGGCATGCACGGCGGACACGCGGTGCCAGCGGCTGCGCACAGAGTACGTGGCGCAGTGCCTGGGTCCCGCCCCGCCTGGGGGTTGCCACCGCGCCCGCTGCCGCCGCGCCCTGCGCCGCTTCTTTGCCCGCGGGCCTCCCGCAATCACCCACGCGCTGCTATTCTGCCCGTGCGGCAGCCCCGAGTGCGCCGAGCGCCGGCGCCAGACCTTCGTGCCCGCCTGTGCCTTCTCGGCGCCCGGCCAGGCGCCGCCCTCCTGCCTCGCGCCCTTAGACGCCTGCGAGCACAGCCGGGTCTGCAGGTGCG